AAAAAAGAAATACAAACAAAAAATAAGAAGACAGAAAGGAAATGTCTCATCCTGAATTATAGTAACAGAAGATCTGTGATGAAAAACAACGTCTGGAATAAATGGAGTTATATGTCTTTAGCACCTGAATTTGGAGGCTAGAACATGGGTAGTGATAAGTATGAGAGGCTGATATCTGTGGGTGAAGAGTTATTAGAATATAGAAGATTTTTCTAATAATCCCAAACTGTGTCAACTAATAGAAACTGAGTTAGGCACTCCCAAAGCACGTTTCCTTAGCTCTATGGGCCTGTGTTAAAGTCAGAGTTGAAAAGTTGAAGAGGTCCCAGAGGGCTTTTCACTGAACATTCCATTTAAGCCAAAACTCTTCAGAAGCATCACTAATAGGAGCCCATTCAGCTTCTGTTTGAACTCATTACCCAGTGCACTCCACACTGTATTCTTCAACAGTTAGAGGAAAGGGTTCTTCTAGTGATGGGCTTCATCTATCTTCTTGAACCAACTGATCTACCTGATACAGCATAGCTCTCCAGGTACCAGCTGACATCTGCAAGATGCCCAAGCATATATTTACCAAACACCTCCAACTCTTTTATATGAAAACACCTGCATCAAGAAGAGGTGCCACCTGCATCAATGTTCTCTACATTTAGCATGTTTCACAGGGCAAGACTTGATATGGGTTGCTCAGGGCATGCTTTGGTGGGATTAGAAACTCCTTTGTTCTTTGTTCAGCCTGAAATTATCTTGGCTTCTTTGCCACTCATGCCATACAGTCATCTAGAATTAAACTTGGGTGTTATCTAGCAGTTCCGAGTCTTTGTCATTTGAGCCTCTATTCATGTAGCTCTGTACCATCTGTATTTTTGCAATTTTTTAAAGGAGAAATTTGCAGCAGTGGCCAGCGCAGAGTAGAGACTAAATTAATGCTTATCAGAACCTCATAAATTTGACTGTTGGATTATTAAGTTGGTTACTTTTGATGTCTTACATTTTCTCTGTAGTCTATTGGGAAAAATTGCACTTTTATTATAAAAAATGTGTATGTGTGTATACACATACACTTTTTAAAGGAGTCTAAAATTTTACCTTTTTGTCATAAATATTTAAACTTTTTCTCAAGGTCTGGGATAATACAAATTGGGATTTTGGTAGCATTTATTTCTTTATATGATACTGGCCTCTACAATGTCAATCAGTGATTTTCTTAGATCAATCGACTACTTCAGTTTTTTGGTGAAGAAATTCTCACCAAACAATTTTAGCAGAATAAATCTCTTAGTAGGTATCTTGATATTTTAATTCCCTTATTTTGGAAGAATACAGAACATTCATATAATTTTCTATTGAATAGTATGTCCTGCAAATGCTTGTCTTTGATATACTCTCACAATGCCTTTTTTAAATAAGGTCTTTGGTTTGCCTGAAAAATACTTTACTGTCTTACCTTCTAGTTCACACCACAAGTCTACTTCTTGACCTCCGTCTCTCCTTTTTAATGCTATTATGTATTTCCTTAGAGTACATTTCACTCTTGTATACCATTATTCCAGGCAGGAGTTGCATTCCATCTCCATGACACCCTCATATGTATTTATCCTTACCATTAAATGTTAATGCTCTAGATATTATTGTAGCACATAGTATAAAATGGTTCCTCAGAGATCTCCATATTCTCCTTCTTAGAACCTGTTATCGCATGTGGCAACGAGACTTTACACATGTGGATAGATTAAAGGCCTTGAGATGCACAGATTACCCTAAGTTATCTGTGTAGGATTTAGAAGTGGAGATGCTGGGGAGTATCTCAGTAATGGAACATTTGCCCAGCATGTGTGAGGCCCTGGGTTCAATCCCAGAACCCCACAAAAAAATAAAGACCTTTTCCTACTTGTAGTCAGAGAAAGAAGTGATGTGATGATGGAGTAAAGGCACAAAGAGTTGGAAAGTTGCTGGCTTGGAAGATAGAAGGAAAGGAAGTGTAAGCAAAGGAATGCAAGGAGACCTCTAGATGTTAGTGAAGACAAGAAAGCAGATGCCCCCTAGAGCCAGCACAGAGGCATTCTCGTGCGACCCTTATTGACTTCACAGTACTGAACTGTAACACAACACATGTATGGTGTTTAAAGCCAACAGATTTTTGGTAACTTGTTACAGGAGTAGTAGAAATCTAATATAGTTATTGTATATTCTCAGCAAAGGAATGTATCTAAGCCATAAAGTTTTATTCTCCAAACTTTCTTTTACCTGACACCTGAAAATAACGATTTTTAAATTGTGAGTGTTTGTGTGTGCATGTGTGTTTGTGTGTTTCTGTAGTATCTACAGTATCTGTTTTGGCAGTTGTATCATGGTATTTTCCAGATATTTATTTTAATTACAAATTAAAAATTTCATTGATTAGGCCACTGAGCCTCCTCTTAAACCTGTTTCCCTGTTCTTGGTAATCTATGTCTTGAACCTTCCCAAGAGCCCATAGTATGATATGAGAGAACATGGCTTAGCAACCAAATCTCAGTCTCCTTCGAGCTTTGTGTGCTTAGTTCGTGATACCCTATAGCTCTTTTCCAAAATAATTTTTAATATGCCATCACATTTTTAAAGTTTGATCCAATTATGCAAACTATGAGTTCTTCTGAAAATACTATTAGTATTCACATTAGTTTGGTTAAAGAAAAGTAGCAATTAGTGGCTATAACAAACAATGCAGGACTTGTGTCATGTATGTACCCTCCAGGAAGGCAAAATATCTTCTCATCAGCCTCATTCACTCAACATACAGCTATTTCTGGCCTATCAAATCAAAAATTCAAAAAACCTATGTACAATCTTTTTGGTACTAGTAGTAAAGGTTAACACTTCGTCTTTTCCATGAAGCATTTAGTGCTGCTTTCTCTTTAGAAGGTTTAGCTTTATTCTCTGGAGCTTGGCTATTGCCTCTCTTGATTTCTAAAGGGTTTTGTTTTTAAAATTCTCTTAATGTCTCATTCTTCTTTGGAGAACATCAACACCAATTTTGATTCTGCCATGCCTCCTGGAAGCCTTTTTTACTTCTGTTTTCTTTCGTGGGTTATTTGTTCTGTGCTGTCTAAAGACCGTTCATCCTGGTGGTTTTCAAGTGTTTCACTTGTTTGTTCAGAGAGACCAGTTTGTATTTATGAGGCATGGGATTGGTGGCCTTACAGGAAGAAAGTTCACCAATGAGCCCAGAGTTATTTAATTTCCACAGCTGAAGCCACACAATGAGTTTTCAGGTCATTTCTACCTCAGCCTTTTGTAGGATCCCTGTCTCTAATCAAGGGTTTTGTTTTAGAATCCTGTAGGTATACAGTTTGATAGCGTCAATGAGGGCCTATTTTGCTGCAAGTTTTGCACTAATACATATTATAAGTGTTTTTCACACGGGTTCTTGCAGCATTCTGTTAATAATTTCCGCAATTACCATATGTGTTAGGTCTTTTTATTATCCTTGTTTTCACACACAAAGAAAACTAGGTTTAGAGAGTCCAAGTAATTTCCTCCAACTCTTGCAGGTACTAAGGGATGGAGATAGGATTCAAACCCAGGTCTGTATGACCCCAGAACCATTCAAATGGTGTACTCATTTTGTTCCACTCATAGGATGTAAGGTACGATGTTAGTAATTGTGTCACTTTTGGACTGCAGTTCCCCATGGTTCTCTTTGCAAGTCCTCTCAGGGCACTGGAGCCCTGGCTCTGGAATTTTCAGGCTTTTCCTGAAATCTACCATGGTCCCATTTAGTGGCATTTACCTAAATATTTGCTTATTCCCAGCACATCACTTCCCATGACACTTTGAGTCCCACTCTATCATTGCTTTCCTTCTTGGTGTGGGTTGCTTGTTGTCAGATTAATATCTCTGACACTAATGTGGCCAGCTCAAGGATGGATTCAACTCAGGGAAAGCACAAGTGTGTATCAGAGGGAAGAGGGAAGAAAGTAGAGAGATGTTCTGTAAATATAAAACACAAATCTGGTTCCAAAGATCATGAAAAAATGGTGGATGTATCTTTAATAATTTTGATATAAATTGTATTGAAGTTATAATTTTTATGTGTTTGGGGTTAAATAGGGTAAGTGGTTAAAGTATATTTTTCTGGTTTTGTTTTACTTTTTAACTGGTATAATGACACATCAAAAATTACATATGTGGTATGCATAACTATCTACTGGTATGCTCTACCATACAGGATATGACTTGTAGTTACTTAATATTAGTTATCTATGTATAAGTGGAATAGAAAGTTGGTGCAGAATTTAAAATAGAAAAAATTATGAATGACAGGAGGAAGTTTCTGCTTGGATTTTAAAATTTCTGTTCCATGTACACACGGACATGCTATCTCCCTTGACAAGCTTTTAAGAAGACCTGATAATCTCCAGAGAAATGAAGCTGAACCAAATGGCAGCTGTCTAAGCATTTCTACATGTTTCCTAACCTGAAAGGCTTAAAATTAATATTGATTTTTGTCATTTATTTTATCTTGAAATTTAAATATCCATTAGATTTATTACCTTTAGATTTTTGGTTAAGATTCAGTGATGGGTTACAATAGCAAATGTGGTATTAAGTTATGTAGATATTGAATTTATGAACTCTGGTGCTCCAGGGTAGCTTTCAGTTCAAGAAATATATTAACCACATATGTATCACCCTTCATTTTGTGGTGAGGATTTCCAGGCTGGGTTCCTATGGTGCCACTTAATTTATGGTCTGGCCAGGTACATGGATCTCCATACAATATTTCAATATAAGTGGTGCCAGCTGTCATAGGGAACTGAGATGAGCTTCAAAGAAGCCAGCTGGATAGCTGATAGATTTGCTCTTTTATACGTAGGCTAAGGCACTACATAGCCTTTAAAGCTTGTCAGCGGTTTGGGCCTTTTTCTGCTCTGAGAAGCTGCACGCATGGCACCAGCCTACACAAGCAAAATCAGCCATGCTGCAGCAGGCAGAGGGCAACTCCCAGAGTTACTTACGTTGACAGCCGTAGTGCCAGGAATTTCCCGGCAGACACTCATCACACTTAGGCCCTGTTGTTCCAGTCTTACACTCACAAAATCCTGAGCCATTACAACGATCATGGATTGAGCCCAAAGGGTTACAATAACACTCTGTAGAAACAAGACAACACACAGGCTGGAGACAAGTCCACATGGTTTGCAAGTTATCAACACAGGAGCATCACTTACTTAAAGAAAGATGTCTGTTAATGAAATGCTTTGCAAATATGTCTATTTCAGGACCATTCATTTATTTCCTCAGCCTCCCACCATATCATTTTTATGATATGGGAAGAAATCAACTGAAAACTTCCATGGGAATAAGACATCATGCTTTTCACTGGCAATAGATCATAATGGAGATTCCATTTGCTAGATTATTTTTAGATGGTTTAATGCACACCATGAGAAGTTTGTATTTCTAGGATAAATCAATACACCATCAATGTAAAATCTGTTTTGAATTATTCAAATGGGCTTATCTGTTAAACTCAATATCTGAGAACTGCTGAACATTTTAGAAGTGCAGTGTGAATGCACTTTGCCCACTCAAAGGTAGTTTTGCTTTATGATTTGAGATAGTGCCTTAACTTATCTATGTACATACTGTTTTGTGATGAGCCCTTAGATACTGTACTGCTAGGCCAGGTAATACAACTTTATGTGGCCTACATTAACAATCACAAAAGAAAAAAAATTTTTTGTAATCCTAGATAAATTTCAACATAGATATAACTTGAGATGCTTATTTTACTTTATAATGTCTGCTTGGCAGGACAGTAAAACTTTGCATAATAAAAAGTAAACAGAATATTTTCTTGATTCCTTTCACATTCTTATATATGATATTTTCACTTCTGAAGTGCTATTATATTTAAAGCTTGAACCGAAAGTGGGAATTCCTTAGGCTTCCATTAGCTGGAAGGGTAGTACAGGTAATTTGCAGTTTACAGCACGTGTGAGACAACTCCATTCCTCATTACCCATTGTGTAATCTCTGGTAGCATATTATGCCTCTCATCTTTCAATTTCTATTATTTTAAAATGAGCCCTTTAAGAGCTTCTCTTGCTAAAACCCATACATACAAAAATCGTATGTTCAACCAACCAACCAACTAACCAACTAAAGTCCTAATAATTTTAGTTTGATATAATCAAGTTTAATTCTTTAAGATTAACAACGGAGATTCAGGCTTTATCATTACAGAGGGACATGGGTTTTGCTCTAACTTTATATTTTACAGACTAGATAATTTCTTTAAACAAGGTATGGTGCCTTAAAATCATGATTTATTTCAGGGTAAGTAAATTTTTAACAACAATGTTTTTACAAAACAAATATTGTAAGACTAACAGTGATATATGTATATAAAAATCTAAATAAATAAATTCTAAAATCTCCCCTCTTTGCCTGACTAGGTTTGTACTTAATAACTAAGATTTTATTTTAAGTGATGTTATCTATTCTAATGTACATGTGTACATAGGAGCTTCTTTTAAAATATATATATATATTTCAAATATATTTTAAAATCGTAATTTTGTTCTGTTTTTTTCAGTGTTTGTAGTATGTATATAGAAGTGTGTACCTAGACCAAAACAGTGAAATGTCTGTTACTATTTAAAGTGTGTAAGTTAACAATGAATCACCAACATATGTAAACCAGTTAGCAGAATTACATCTGGCCAACATGAGTTCACATACGGTTTTAGTTAATTAGCCATAACAATTAATTAATATAAGATTTTAAATGCATAAATGTAAACAAAGTAAAAAACAAACAAGGGAACAGTGGAACATCTCTAAACCATAGTACAATTCATGGTTTTTCATAGGAAAAGTTGAAAAGCATAATGTTATTCAAACACTCATGGAAACATATGACAAGGGGAGATGTGGTTTTACCCTCCACCTTACAAATATTTTAATTTTTCAAAAATATCGTCTACAGAGCTATATTTAATGGTGGATGTGGGGTAATGGGAATAGCGTTGGATGATCATATTTTATTCCTTAAAACTATGAAGAATATACAGAACCCCTAGATTATAAAACAACATGAAATGCTTTTGCTGAGCTTTATTTAAAAAGTTACACTAAAATTGATTTATAGATATTAAAATCGTCTTATACCTCTGATTACGTGATCTTTGGTTTCAAGGAGAATTAAAAATAATACATCAAAACTTTGAGATATGTTTAGCAGCAACTGTGTTTCATTCAGATGCAAAGCTTGTTAATCGTGATTATTAACAGTGATTACCCAAGGTCACAAACTATGTATCCTCTAGCTTCCTGCTTAATGCTGAAGTTTATATGAAACAGAAGCATGCAAGGATGTCATCTTCATGTAATTTTTGCGTCATCACAAGGTAATTACATGAATCTTTGGAGACACGGTGGTGTCTGGAATTGGTATAAAAAATGTGTAAATTCACCAGGAATCACAAAGCCGCAATTATGGTGCCAATGTGGACTAGCCAGCTGTATTTTATATTTGCCACACTCTAAAATGATGCAAATACTTTAAAACATCTATTTCAACAGAGACTACATTTTTCAAAGGTATGAGCTGTTCCCTTACAGGCAACATGGAAAATTTCATTGCCAGTTGTTAAGGACTTGGCAAGGAACACTTAAAAATGTTTTTAATGCAGACAAGAGTTAGATGAAGTTCAAAGTTTCCAAGATTACTGCCTAATTCTGTGAAAATGAGTTAGATAAACACCCATTCATTCTTATTAGTGCTTTCTAGAAAAAATGATATTAAAATTAACTCTGAATTACTTAGTGCATATCCTTTCAAATTCAATACTCAATCTTTTTCTTTAAGGTCTTTTTCTCTGATTCATTTAAAATGTTAACTATTGTAAAACAATTTAATCATATGTATTTTGAAAAAATAAGCAAACCTTATTCTTGTGTTCCTATTTACCATTTCTGTTGTTTCCATATTTATAGCATGACATTTATGTATTTTTACAAATGCCATTCAGTTGAATATATCCTACATTCAAAATTCAGACAACTACATGTCTTCTGATTTTTATTAATATCCTCAAATCTTTGTAACCCATGTGCTATGAAAGCAATTGAGCTTCTGTTCATAAGCTCATGTTGGAACTGTTGCTGTCATCCAAAAAGCATGATATAAGTGAAAATCTGACATGCTTAACTTTGCTATGCATGTCACAGTGGTTAGGAGAGAGTGTCAGTATTTGAAATCAGGAAGCTCTTGCTAATACTGTATGATTTGGGTCTGTTGGCCTTATTTTTCTCAAATAGCAAACAGGGGAGATTATGAGTGGAATACTTACCCTACTGTTTTGTTAGTGAGGATTAAGTTAAGTTTGCAGGTCAGTTCACAGTTGAGCAAGTGTTTCCTGTGCATCCCACCTGATCAAATGACTTACCTAAGGCACACAGCTACTAAATAGCAAACTGTGACTTGAACCCAGCTCTCCAGTTTTAAATTCAGTACTTTCTCCACTAATTCACAAATAATAAATAGGAAGATCTTTGAAAAATAGAAAATACTGTAGACGTTAATAGTATTATGTATACTTGGCCTAATTGAATTCAAAGAAAATCACACAGCTGTTTTATGTGACAGTTGGCAAGACTCTACATGACCTTGACAGGCCAATTAGAAAGCAACAATTCCAGGAATGCAGGTGGACTGCATTTTCTGATGAAAATATCACCTGTCATTTTCATTTTGTATATTCAATTTAATATAGTCCCTATATGTAAAATTCTACCTTTAAAATTGCTTACTTGTATAGCTATTAGTGTGGTAACAGATTCAGCATTTCAGATATATACAGTTCTACAAAGTAAGTTATGGTGTGAAATTCCATTTATGGTTTCTTATTTTTATATCAGCCTCCCTTTGTTAAAGACAGGTTCCACTCTGCAAAAGACAGGAGATTTTGGGTGAGAAGGGCACTTGCTTTCTCCCCAGGAGCAGTACTCATTTTGGGGGAGCAGCAAGAAGTTCTCAAGAGGCCACTGAGGACCCAGTTTTCCAGGCCTCATGTACTTTGGAAGCTAAGAGAATTAGTTGAGAGATATGCCTGTTTAGGGGCTAGTGGCAAATGTAATAAAGGAAATTTCATTACCATGGATGGAAAAGTCAGGCAAACTTCTACATTACCAATTGCTAGTAGCTTTCAATTCCAAATGGCAACATTTTAAATCCACCAATCCTTGCTGATCCCCAATTATATAAATAAGCTAGTACCCCAAATTTTCTTATCTATAATTAAAACTGAATTTCCTTTTTGAAGGCCATCAAATCAAATCAAAATTACCACGTTTTATGATTTCATCCAAGAAAAAGTGAAAAAACTGAAAATCTTCATTTTTTAAACATGATTTCTCTGATCATTATCTTTAAGGCAATAACATAAGGATTCACAATATAGCCCCCTCCCCCAGTATTATTTCAACCAGTGCAAGTGAATTTTAAGTCTACCACAAGGATATTTGTCCCATTGAGAAAGTTCTGACTCAGCTGTTTTGCAAATCATTAGCCTCTCCACCTTAGATTGCTCCCCATAGCTCAAAAGGCACAGAAGAAAAGCTGAAAGTATAATAGAACTGACCTATGCACACATTCTCATCGTCCAGTTGTGCGGAAGCATTTCTGAAGTAGCCCAGCCTGCATAACTCACAGTGCTGCCCTCTAGTGTTGTGTTTACAGCTCACGCAAATGACTGTATTTAGCAGATCGATATAACTGCATCGATTGGAGTGGCCGAAGCATTCACAGTCTTGCAAGGAAGAACAGAAATGTATACAGAGTGTATACAGTAGCAGAGTAATAGCACACTACATGCTTGGATAAAATGAGGAATGGAGAAAAGATGGAATGGCGTCACATATATGTGAATCAGCATGACACATGGCGGGAGCAGGTGGCTGAGACTGGCATGGAAGTGGCATCTGTTTCAAGCAGGACAGAAAGGTCGGACACTCAGAACATGACTGAAGATTGTTAATTTTTGGCAGACAAGATGAACAGAAGCATTTGCAGGTGTACACCTTTTAAAATTTGAGAAGGCTTGATTTCCATTGATGCAAAAGTCTAATTTTTGCACAAGGAAAACTTCACTGTTTTGCACATCTCCCCCATTTTCTCTTCATATTTGCAGTCTTTAAAAAGGGGAGCAAAGCATATGAGCATTGAGGGTCTGAATCTGCCATTCTCCCATGGCGCCTTTGTCTCACTATTGTTTATGCAAGACAGTAACTCAGTTAAGATTTCATAGAAATCATGGCAAATTTCATAGGGATCCAGACAACCACAATTCTTTATCTTGTTTTTCCCCAATAATTATGTAATGCTTTATTTTTTCCCCCCACTGCTAAGAGGGGAAGATGGCTTTCTTATGCCTTTCTTCAAGTCAAATCTGCATGTTTATGTGCAAGAGAAAACACAACAAATGGAGAGATTATTTGTATGAAAAGAAGTACGCTTAAGATTTCCTTTTTCTTTCAAGTTTTATGCTACAAAAAAAGGGTTAGGCAGTTACTATACCTCCAGATTTCTCTTCCATTTTCTCTCTGAAATGTGAGAGATGCCTCTGGGGCTTAGGAGTGATGGTGGTAAGAATCAGACAGGGAGATGAAGAATAGAAGATGCGTGCACCTGGGGAGGATGGACTGTGACTAGATCTCCTCTCTTGCAGCTCAACCAAAGAAAGAAGTTGTTAATCTAATTCAATTTTTAAAAACAGAAATGGCAAAGAAATAATTATTAAACCAATAGAAAAAAGTAAGGAATAATGAGACAGGAAATCTATTGCATCTTGTCAAACTATGGGGATAGGCTGAGTTAGAAATTTACAAGGAAGAGTAATCAAGTTGTGTTATCTATAAATACTCTTCTGATTAATATCTAGCTTTTATTTTATTCTGCTAAAAAGTCAAACACAGCCAACATTTGAACCCATTCATTCATTCAGCATTTTGTTGTCACTATTACATACTAGAAACCATGCTGGGTGCTGAATTATTTCTTGGCTAACATAAAATTTTAAGAATATTGAATTTTTATAATCACAGTAAAAACTAGTGTTAGCAAGTAAAAAAGAATAAGGAGAGGTGACTAGCGCTAACGATTTTCCTTATCAATATAGTATCATTTATTAGAACAGTATGGATTCATCTATTAGAAAGCTGGTTACTCGAATAGATTGCTAAGGTCCTGGTCCTGAGGGAATGAAATCCGACGCAGAGATGAGCCGAGGAGGCCAGTGGGGATGGTGGAGAGTACAAAATACCCAGGCTTAGGGTCAGCAGCTTGGGGAATCCAGTTGCTTAAAAGGGAAGGAAGAAGATGGGGGGATCCTGAGGCCAACCCACTTCCTTTATATGAGGTCTGCTCTACATAAGTGCAGGAAGTAGGGTTGGGGATGAGGGAAGGGAGGAGCCAGACAGGGGAGGAGAATGTAGGGCGAAGGAGGACTTGGGACTTCAACGTAGGAGATGCAGTAAGAAACTAAATCTAGTCGTTAAGGCATGCCAAGTAAATAATCACACCGCCAATAAAATAGTTACAGATTACTAAAGTAAATTATTTTAGAAACAAGCTTTCACCCAATCCAGGATTCATGCCTGAGTTACACCTTGTTCATACTAGCATCTCTGATTCCCTAGGATACGGGAAAGCCTTCTAGAGCTTTTCTTGGTTGAGAATTTGAAACCGAATGTGGCCTGAAGCCTCCCAGGAGCATTGGTTGTAGGTTCCAAACCTAATGCTTCCCAAGGACCTCTTTGGCACTACCTGAGATTTCTGGGGAGAGAACAATGTCAGCTTATTCACAGGGCTTCCATCTTTATCCCTGGGGAGAGGCACTTGTTGGTTGTTTTTCTTCAGGATCCCCATCCTAGGTTGGACCTTGGAGCACCCAATTTAGTTAAGACAGCTTTTCTTCAAAAGCATCTTTTATGTTCAAATATTCATTTCAGGTCTTTTTGGAACTACATAGAAGCTTAATTAGTGGGTAAGACAAATATGTACTCAGACAACTAGGAAATAAAATAGTTTGTGCTAAAAAAATGAAATAGTGACACGAGTGTGGAAGGTGAAAGTCATTTAACTTGAGTGGAATGAGTAAAAATGTCCAGTAGAACTTGCACACTGAGGTTAAGCTTTTGTTTTGTTTTAAAGAGGGAATTAGTATTTCTGTTGAAAAGAATAAGAGTGTGCAAAGGTATGAAACTAGGGAAATGTGGAGAGTAAGATAGGATGATTTTCATAATATAGTTCCTTTGGGAGGTATTCTGAGGATTCTGCAGGATCTGCTTCATAGCTATAACTCATGCTTGGCTTTATCTAACAACACTATTAATAAAAAATGTATCTGTAAGATACTCAAGTTCAGGGATGAGGATGTATTGTAGCTCAGTGATCGAGGGCTTGCCTAGCATGGGCAAGGCCCTGGGTTTGATTTCAGCACTGAAAAACAAAATCCAAGGTCAGTATTTTGATACCTATTCCATAAATCATCATTGTCATGTCATGTCAAATGTAATACTGTTACTTACTAATATCTGAATTTAATGAGTGATATATATTTCTGTGATTATATTAACTCTTTTTTGTGAGTCTCATTTGAAAATCAATTTACAACTTTTGATAAGGAAAGTTAAATAATTATGCATGAAACTATGCTCAGCTAACCACACAGTACTATAAACCAATTTCTTAAAATAAGCAGATATTTAAAATGTTTTATATGAGATAGATTAATAATAACTTGATTTATTTAAGACCTTAAAATCCTTCTGAGACTTTGATTAAGCTGTCTTCTCTGGTCATGATATATTTGAGAATATTAAAGGAGAAAAACATTTTTGAAAGTGATTTGGAAAGCATGAGAACATTATGTAAATAGTAAGTATTTCAAATATAATCATTATGCTGCCATATTATTTTCTAGTACCTTGTTAATTTACCAGTCTCCAATACCTAGTCTTCACTCAGGCACAGAAGCCATTAATGATCACTAGAGATATAGTTTCAGTTGCATTATATTATTTAGATCCTGAAGAGATGATATGAACAGTTTAATAATTCTTTGATTCTTCAGTTCACTGACCTACCATGTCTTCCCTTCTCCTCTTGTAAAGTACAGAATTTATGCTCCATCTTTATAATAATTGTACTTCCTTCTCTACACTCTGTTGCCCTCCTACCCAAGAAAAACTTGATCCTGCTTAAATTCAGTTCTTCGTCTCTCCAGGTCTACATGCCAGCAGTTAAATGAGGCTAGAGTTTTTCCTCCAACCATTTTGAAATGAATCTTCCTTCAAGTTCATGGTTATTAGCTTCAGGGGTGTCCTCATTGTTTGATTTTTAAATCTCTTTTGCTTTTTTGTGTTGTCTTCTTGGCTTAGGGTTTAATCCTGGGACCTCTGTTCTTGAGGTTTAACCTAGATGCTTTTTACCTAGGCCCATGACTTTCAAAACCATCTATATGTGGACCATTCCAAAATGGTTATTTCTCTCCCAAAACAACTCCTCAGTTATTGAGACAGCATTCAGCCTCATATGCTGTATTCAACTGCCTTCTTGGTATCTCCACTTCAACATTTAGTAGAGATCTCAACTATAGGATGTTCAAAACTGAGTTCCTGGACTATGTTCCTAAACCTGCTGCTCACCAGGGGGCCTCATCTCAGAAATAACGACCCCATTTCTCTAATTGCTTAGCTCAGATGGCCAGAGTTATTCTCGATGTACCATCCCCTTTTCTCCACTCCTGATAAGAGTGGCAGATTCTCTTGGCTGTGGTTTTAAATTCATTTAACTAGCTCTCACTGGTTCCAGCATCACTACCTAGGTTATTGCCATCATCCCAAACTACTTTCTTGACTTCTGCTCTTGTGATAATCTCTTCTCACCCAACAGTTAGGGTGACCCCTTCAAAACTCAAATTAGGTCATGACATTTGACTGCTCACAATCCAAATGAGTTACAGTCTCATTCAGAAAAAAGAGGAGGCCATTCCTTCCCAAGTGCTCCAGCTCTCAGTTTCCTTGGGGGCTCATTGCTATCACTGTTCACCCCGCTTACTCCATGTTGCTCCTCAAAAGTGTCAAACACTTCTCAGGGCCTTTGCAGGTACTGTTGCCAGAATACTCCTCTGTAGACACCCCCCCCACACCCCAAACATTGCTCAGTACTTGCTCGCTCACTTCTTTTATTAGGTCTTTGTTTAAAGAAAATTTTCTGACCACTTTATCTGAAATAACAACCCCCAAACCAAACACCCTAACCTTCCACTTTCCTAACCCTCTTTATCACTTTTTAATAGAGTATAATATCTGCAAAATATTAAAAAAATCTTTCCCCTGTGCTCCACATTTAAGTACATGAGTGCAGACAACATTTGTTTTGTCAACAGACATAACCACAGAGCTTTAAGCATCCCCTGGCACACACACAGTCATCACTCAGAAAACATTGTTGAATGATTAACTAAATGAATGAAGGATGATCTCAAAGCAACCTCCTCTAGGTGGCAGGGGAAGACACAGGAGAAAGTTATATTTAAATTTATTCCTCCACCATTCAAATCCTTTAAGACAGCCTGGCTATATTCTCTACATTAAAGAGTTTAGAAAAACAACAGCCACACAACAAGATATAATTAAGTTAGTGATTATATTACCTGGAAATTGGGTATGAATCTATGAACAGATCAGTTTAGGCAGAAAATGCAAATTACTGAAAATTGCTGTGGTTTATAAAGTTTTCAACCTC